GAATTTCAGTTCTGGAGAGCTGTACTCTAACTCCACTTTTTGTTCATGGCCAAAGGGCTTCCTCCTAGCCTCTGAGGGACAACTAGAGAGAGCAAGGCAAGCCGACAGCATTCAGAGGATCCTAGAAATAAAGCAGCAGGAGGCACAAAGTCATGTTTCATAGTTTCATAGTTAGTAGGGTCAGAAGGGACCTGAGCAGATCATCAAGTCTGACCCCTGCCATGGCAGGAAAGAGTACGGGGGACACAGGGAAAGAGTTCCAAGGGACATGGCCAGAATTTCTCTGTGTTGGGGACCCAGGATGGGAATAGCAAAGGGAGATGAAACTCAGCACTGAGATGCATCAGCAATTATTCTGTGTTGGGCAATGGCAAACACAGCTTCTGCATAGTAAAATAGGAAGCCTGGATTTATGGTAAAAGCAGAACCTTGAGCTCTGGAAAGTCCAAGAAGTTCTTGGTTTTCATGTGTCCATATGTTTCCTGTGACCTTGTGCAAGTGGTTCCATTTCCTTGGGCCACTTCTGTCCCAACCCACATACCCACTCTTTCCCTGAAGAAAAACAAAACTTTCCTATTGCCTATCTTTCCAGACCCTCTCTGTCACTGAAAACCACTGACTACAGCATATTATTGTTTGGCACCAAAGGGCTGTAAGGTGAACAGATATTCCTCATCCATCCCCTGCATAATCCTCAACCAGGGAGGCCCAGTCCTGTCTCCAGTGCTACCCAACATCAACATGAAGCTGTTGGAGAAGCTAGGGCGTTGCTCTCAGCTGCAGTTCTGGCCAGAAACAATATTCAGTACTCATGCCATTCACAGCACCATCTCCTAGCTTGCCCAATGCCCAGCCAAATTCAGCACATGGCTAACATTAAACCCAGATAAGATAGGCACAATGCCAGGAGGAAGAGAGAGGCTCTGTGACAAATTTATCTCCTGTGTCACATCCTGCACCTGTGACTGGCCTGATGATTGTAACCCAACCTACTAGACAGAGATCCATATGCAGACCTTCAGATTAAGTGGGGCATAATCTTCATAAAAGGACTGAGTCAATGTGTGGGGGGCATAATCTTGATAAAGGTTTTGAGTCAATGAGGACCATCTTGGTGAGTGGGGTGACTCCATGGTATTCTTTCATTCCTATATTTGGCTTAGGTTTTTAATCAGATAATTTGTAAGATGTTATTCTGTAGGGGGATGAACAGTAAGTCAGAGATCAAGGGTGGGTTCCTCTTTCGCCCTGTGCTGAGGTTCCCATCTGCACATGTTTTATGGACCCTTTGACTCTTAGAACTTCATCTCTGTTTTGGGAAAGATACACCTGTGAGGACTTTTAGGATTTTGGGAGGGGGGGCAGGGGGAGGGGGTTAAATGGTACTCAGTTTTACATAAGACTGCTTGGGTCTGTTAAGTATAATTAAGAATAGAGTCTATCTAACTATAATTCATGGAATGTGTTATCTGCATTTTGTTCTCATATATAGTCTAGCTATATTTCTTTTGCAGAAGTTTAATACAGTGTGCTGTGTGATAAATTCATGGGAACTCTGTAGTTGCTGGGTACAGAAGGCTCAGTGATATCATGCTGTGGTCCCTAGCTTGGGCTTGGCGTCAACACATAGGACCATGCATTTGTGACCTCTGTGCTTGCTTATTGCAGTTCAATGGGCCAGATTGTCCCATCACCTGCTATAGGGTAAATCAGGAGTGGTCTTCAGTGCCTTCCTAGACTGGTGTTAAGGTTGTGCCACTAGGGGAGAAAAAAGGCTCATTGTATCTGCATGCTTCCTGGAAAAGACTCCTACTGGTACAAAATACATCAGGCTAGGTCAGCACATGCCTATTGCCCCTTCACTTTGCTCTCTGCACTGGTTCCAGCTGAATGTAGAGTCCAGGGTACAGATTTGCTTCTGATACTCAGTACCTCACATGCTATTTGAGATGCCATCACTGTAACCACCCCTAACAGTCATATTTTACCAGGCTGTAATGGGTGAGGCATTAAGGAGTTTCGTGCATGCAGGAGGCAGAACCCAATGGAAGCTGCGCCTCCTCTTTGGAACTCATCCCTGTGACAGCAAGCAGGCCACATGTCTCCTCATGTTCACAACTAAATGCAAAGTTCACCTCTTTGAATGAGTGTTCTTCATATACCATGTACCTGCCTCTATCCTGCTGGTGCCCACACACTCACACAGGCTAACCAAAGCATACAGTGGCTATCCCTTCTACAAACCAAAGAGCTCAAGAGTTTGCTATCATTTTCTCATCTGAAAGAGTGGGGAAGTGCTTGGACAACACAGTGATGGAGAAGATAGATGGAATCCCAGCAAAGTTAACTAATTTGACTGTACTGTAATTAGTAGTGGAGTCAGACACGAAACCCCAAAGCCCTGTTTCTTTCTCCCCTGTGCAAGATAGGGTAATCACTATCTCTTACAAGGTCATTTGTTGTGTAGAAGAAAATCTAGCCAAGGCTAGTGAGGAAGGAAAGAAGCCACCAGATTGAGAGAGAATTTGAAGGAGCAAGGATCCCAGTTTAATAGGCAGCCCTTGGCCCTTAAAGTTTCATTTTTCTCTCTGTGTTGAGTCTCAGAGAAAGCAAAGGAACTAAATGTCCTCTGAATGCAAAGGGCCCTAGACAGCAGCTCCAACCCCTGGGGGAGGGTGAGGGGTACTCTTTTCCTACGCTGAATTCCAGTCCCAGCTCCTCAACCTGGTTTCAGCTGACTCTGAAACATCTGACTCAGGGAACCTTTATGTGAGGCAGTCTCCCCTCCCCAGTGCCTGTGTACACGTTACCTCCTTTTGGTATTGGAGTGCCTGAAATAGGCTCTTTGCCTTTTGCAAAGAGCTGGAAGAATTGCCCATCCACCCCTTCCCTCCTCTCCCTCTTTCCCCGCTCCCCAGTGTCTTCTCTTTTGGTCTTGTTTCTGGTGGGGTCCTTTTAGCTAGTATCTCATTGCTGTGAAGGGGAGGAGAATGACATCAGCACCAGGGTGTGAAAGGGAGCAGTGCCCCACTCTGGACCCCAGCTGGCCACCAAGCAGAGACAACAGGCCTATAAAGCTTGCCAAAGGACAGCAGCCTCCATTGAGACAGTGGTTCCAAAGGCTCCTAGAGGCTGCAAAGGGCCCAGAGGAGACCAGCCATGCTGTTAATTCCTGCACTGGACAGCAGCAGCAAGACCACAAGGCATCAGGACACACATTAGCCAAAGACCCTACAATGTGGCTTGAAGATTAGCTGGTAAGTGTCTTCTCTTCTTCCTATTCTCAATGTACACTGAGCAATGATAAATGATAGAGGGAACTACAGTCTGAGCACAGGAGTGGGAGCCAGGACTGCCTCACTCTGTACTTCAGGGGTAATAGCATTTACGTCATTCACAGGAGCCTGGGAAGCACTGGCTCTCATCATCAGAGCAATTGAGGACCCTAGGAGATGAAGGGAATGTTTGAAACTGGCCACTGATTTATTTTTATTGCCTTTTTCTTGATGCCTGATTTAAGACACTCACACAAGGGGCCATGTTGGCAAAGTGCCACCCACCTCCAAGTTCTCTGTCCATCCTCAGCTTGATTTTTACCTAGTGGATGCCAGCAATGGGATGAGCTGCTCAAAGGGATTCAGTGCCAGATAGATCCATGGGGAAACTACACACCACGACATTATCAGTAATAATAAATAGGATTCCTGAGGCAAGTTTGCTTTGCACACTTCCATTCCCTGCTGCATCTGTGGAGCCTTTCCTGTCCTTTGTCACCTTCAGCCCCTAAGGCTAGGGACAGAAATTCAAAAAGCCTGATCCTGAGTTGATTCAATCTTTGCATGTTAGTCTAACTTGGCTAGGCTAAATCAGTTTTGTAACCAGACAGACATCCCATAAATGCAGGCACATGCCTGCAGTGGCTCAGTCTACAAGCTGGGAGGTGCTAAAGCCGCTTTCCCTTTGCTTCCACAGTGCTGAGCTGAGTGGGGCATGGCCAGGCCGCCAGCAGGATTTCCCCCCTCTCTCCAGCAGCCCAGCAGGGAATGTTTATCACCCCTAACTCAGTGCTAATCAACCCATTAAGAAAACAAAGCCTTTCTCCATTAACTAATGGAGCTCTTCTTAAACAGCTCTTCCAAGGAAGGACATTAGACTACCTGTTGATTAGCTCCAAAAAGCCTGTCTGCCTCTGTCCTCTCCCACAGCATGGACCACCAGCATGTGGTCTGCTAGCTAATGCTGAGGTGTGTGTGTGTAAGGCGGGGGGAGGGGGGAATAATCCCTGCTTAGCAGGGAAAAGCCAGGCAGACTGCAAGTCTGTGCTGATCTGCAGCCAGGGAGCAGAGGGGAGGGGCCAACCCTGCTGTGGAGCAAAGAGCTCCATCCAGCCCAGAGAGCATGCTGGGATGCTGGCAGTGTCTGGTTTATGTTAAACCAGCAAGCGGTCTGGGACAGACATAGCATAAACTGGTTTGAGCCAAATCAGTGAAGTCTGGTACTATATTCAACCAGGTTTATCTCAAACTGGTTTCAGCCATTTTCAAACTGGTGTATGTGCACTGAACATCTGTTCTGTTACAGGTTTAAACCAGTTTCTGATCACTTAAACCAGTTTATGTGTTATGTTTGTCCCTGGCCTGTCTTGAAATCTCTGCCATTTCTCTTCCCACCACAAGGGCTCACATAGCAGCCAATAGTCATCTTGATGGCCAATGGAGTTGCTGTGACGCAATTGTACTGTTTCTTCCCTTCTTCCCTGCACAAAAACCTAGCGATAGCCCTCACCTCCTGCAAGAGGCTGAGAGCACAACCTCGGTTACACTTCCAAGCCACTTGTCATCTTACAGAATGGAGGATGGGGGCTGTGGAACTGTAATAGGGGATCCCTGACTCCATTAGGTGGAATAAATGAGGAAAGGGGGGACTGGCACCTTTTAAGGGCAGGGCTCCTTCAGCTGAAAGGGGTGGAGCCTGGCACTATAAAAGCTCAGTTCCAGGGACAAGCTGGCAGTTAAGCCCTGGCACAGCTGAGGGAAGAAACTCCTTGCCAAGACCTGAAGAAGCTGAACTACGAACTGTGAGTAGGCTTAGGAGGGCTAGACCTGGGAGTGAATAAATCCCAGTGGGAGTGAATAAAAGCCTGGGGAGGGCCTGGGGAAAGGGACCCCAGTGGGAACTGATTTGTTTGTATTTTTTTATGGTTTTGCAAAATAAATGCCTGGCCATGAGGCATGGGGTGGCTGGATGGGGTATTAGGAGGCCACTGAGGACACATGTGGAGTGCAGTGAACTTTTTTTATTTATAGCTATTTTGATAACTTCTGGATAACTGATAAGGAGGCCATGTGGCCAGTAGGACTGATAAGGCAGGGCTGGTTGGGAATTGACTGATAAGGAGGGCCCAGGCACAGTGGGACTGGCTAATAGAGTAAGACTGACTGATAAAGGGGGATTGCACCCTGATGGGACTGACTGATAAGAGGGAGGGGAGCACATACCCAGTGAAACTAAGAGCTTAATCCATATTAATCATAAACATCAAGACATGGCAGGAAGGAATCACTAGGTCACCAAGAAATTGGGAGAGCAAGTAGGTAAGGACTGACTGCTAGGAGCAGCAAAGCACTGCAGGACACCCCTTTGGCCTGCTACATGTGGTACATTGGTTAGGAACAGTTGTATAGGTGAGAACTTAAGGGCCACAGGGATGAAGGAGAAATTCAGTAAGACCTTAAAAAAACATGCTGAAGATATGTATAGGACAGGCCCCAAACACTGGGATTAGATGTTGGCCCCACTAATGTTTGCTGTGATGGAAGCTCCACAGGCCTCAACAGGTTATTCCCTTTCTGAACTGACTGCCACAGAGAATTGTAGACATCATTAAAGAAAACTAGGAAGAACAGAAAAGCCTGACCTACAACCCCATGCATAACATGTGTCGCAAGGAAGAGGGTTAACTGAGACTTGAGTTTGCAACACTACTACTTCACAATAGAGCAAAGACCAGAGAAGGAGCACATAAATGAGGACTTCTTTTCCAGGAAGAGTTAAAACAAGAAGTATCCAATGAACAGACCCCAACCCCAAGACAAAGATGAAGGAAGGGGAGCATGTAAGGGACCCTGGGCTGCATTAGGTGTTGTGAGTGAGGAAAAGGCACCTTCTAAGGCCTGGGGTTGCATAAGCTGGGGTTGCATAAGCTCAGTTCTGGGAATAACTGACAAACAGGCCCTGGCACAGCTGAGTGAAAGAGTTTTTTGCCAAGACCTGAAGAATCTGGGCTAAAGACTATTGCTAGGCTTAGGAGGGCTGGAGCTGGGATGAACCCCAGTGGAAGTTAATAGATGCCTGGGGAAAAGGCATCCCAACAGGAGCTGAGTTTTTTATTGTTTTGCAAAGTGGTCACCTGGCCACAAGGATGTAGGTGCATGGGGGGGCTGGATGGGAAGGTGGGAGGCTAGTGAGGGCACCTATAGCAAGTGCAGTGAATGCTTGTTATTTAGACATATTTCATAGAATCAGAGAAAATTAGGGTTTGAAGGGAGAGCAACTCCTGCAAAACTGATAAGGGGCCCCTGCAGGCCTGGTGGGACTGACTGATAAGGAGGCTGCAGCCTAACTTGCGAAAAGTAGAGAAACTGGCATAGAGTGGTGAGCCCAAGGAGCTGATTGGGCTGAAAACCAGTAGGACTGATAGTGGACAGAAGTGGGGTCACATTGCAGGGGCCCAAACAGAGGTGGCCCTATGATGTGATCACTGAAAGACAGCACCAAAGGTTGCCCCTGGCTGAACCGTGAGCCTACTCAGTCATAAAGACATGGCAGATGGGAACTTCGGGAGGGCAAGCTGACCACCAGAGGACACCCACGAGCCTGCAACAGGATCTAAATGAGAGTCTCTACTTGCATATTTCTCCTGGCAAGTGATTTCCCCAGCTGGGCCGGTTCTCAAGGGAGTGAAGCTGAGTAAGGACCCAAAGAACTTGGACACCCCACAAAGGGGACATCACTCGCTTAGCAGCAGTGTCTTTCTAGAGTGTGTGCATGTGTCTAAGGAGCCAGAATTAACCCCCCAGGAAATGCAATTCATTAGAGAGGTGCAGTGCACACAGGGTTCAGGGGAGGCACTCGCCCCTCGCCCCTCCTTTCCCAGAACAGGTCATAGCCCAGGCTGAAAGTAAGAGTGAGGCAGGAGGTGTCTGGGGCAAGTTGGT